AAAAAAAAAGAATCGATCACGAAGAGACTCTTCGCCAATCTCTTTCGCTCATCAACATCCGTGTCAAACTCCGTTACTCCCACTGGAGATATACCACTTTCTACCTGCTGGAGTATGCGCGCAATCCAGATCGTAAAGGCAGCCACGGCTCCGAAACAAAGTCACGTTTTGGCCTCTTACCAGCAATCGCCTCGATAGTTGCGGCACATCTAAGCGCACCTTCAAAAGAAAGAATCTCCGAACATAGAAAATTTCCCGAATACTCCTCTTTCATGAGAAGGGCGAAAGGATCTTCGGACCTATTGTCCATTATGCTTGTTGAGTGTGCTTTACATGCTCAAGATTATTCTCATTCGCATAGCAAGGACACTGGATGGAGCACTTGTAGAACAAGCTGTTCGCAATGGATTAAGCTGCGTGGATCACATCCAGATGGTCTCGAGGATTGGCAAGATTTGCTGAATCGTCAACCTCCCGTTCTAATCTTCGTTGATTATAAGAAAGCGCTTGACAGCATCGAGACCAATGTCATACCGTCAACGCTCATCCGCCAAGGACCCATCTTACGTGAGGATATTGGCCGAATACTGCTCTAGAACGGTGCAGCTTTTCCATCACCTTAGCATACCAATTTTAAAGGGAGATTCGACAAGGTGACACCGTGTCGCCAAAGCTGTTTATCGCTGCCTTAGTGGGTGATGAATCATTGAATTGGAATGAGAGAGGTATACGATTTGATGGGACATCCCTCTCGAACCCTTGTTGCGGATAACCTAATTCTCTTTACGAGGAATTACTGAAGCGGAAACGATGTTGAAAAAACTAAGAGAAGTAGGGAAGCGAATGGGACTGCGAATCTACTGGAGGAAGACTTTGTTCATAAAGAGCGCTTTTTGCGAGGATCAGAATCAGATAATTTTTACTCAGGCCCTCTGCAAAAAGCGATGGCATATTTTGACATACTCTAGTAGCGGACGAAAGGAAACAAGAAAGTTTCTTGGTTTAAAATAACAGTCAGTAGTGAATTGATTCCCTTCAAACAATAATCAACGAATAGCAAAAATGCCATAACTTTTCTTCACTCATTTTTCATTCATTTTCTTCGTTTCCCTTCCTTTTTGTGCATATAGCTCCAACAAGTTAAGGAGCAGGAAACGTCTTTTTTAAATAAAAGTGAAGTTGTAAACAAAGTTGACATGCTTTAAGGTGTTCGGAGGCTATCCTTGTATCCTAGAAGGACCATTTAAATTTTGAACCTTCCCGCGTTGAATCGCTAATTTTTTTCTTGGGACCAACCTAGAGCGGAAACGGGAGAAATGTGGAGGAATACAAAGGTTTATGGGATTACAAGAATGGGAAATATATAGCAGTGATCTCGAACGTCAAAGTCGAGCACTGAGAATGAGCTTGAAAGAAGAATTATTCTTGTTATATTTAAATAAAAAGGGCCTATGAAAGAAAGTCATTTTTGCACGTTTCTTCAAATTTTCCCCTAATTTCATGATTTCTGAATGTTGCGCAGTCCTTGTTATACAGCGCAATGTTGCGAGCGGATTTAAGGTTGAAATAGTCTAGCCGCATTTTTTGTGTATCTCAAAATAGTTCGCTGGATATACAAAACGTT